GATTTGTCCACCAGCCAGCTTTTAAACCATATGGGGCACAGCACATGTGTTTGGAAATATATATATATATATATATATATATATATATATATATATATATATAATATTATACGATATAATATATTTTTGACCACACTTTGTTATTATTGTTTAATTATTTATTTGATGGAAATTATAACTGAATTTAGAAATAGTTTACAAATCTTTGCACTTCACAAATGAAATTAAATCTGTAGGCTAATGGATGTCTTCACCCGAGTGCGTACAACACCATTTCCTTATCCAGTAGAGAAAGAGAAAAAAAAGTAAAGAGGTAGAAAGGAGGAGGCTCCTTCTTTATCCTCACACAGATGGTCTGTTTAACTGTTTTCTGGCTAGTGAAGCGTTCAGTTTTTCCACTTATAAAGTACGGCATGTAAATAGCAAATGCGCCATGGCGAGACACAACTGGCTCTTAAAGGGAATGTGAGATGAGACTCTGATTGGTTTATTCTCAAGAAAAACACCCATAACTTATTAAGAGAATAAGCACAACCCTGTTAGACCATGCACTGTGACACAAACCATATTTTTCTGTCCTTAAAATAGCGGATTTGGACATGCCCTTCTTCAACTATAATGGCTTCTCCAGCTGAAAAACTTAGAATTGTGAAAAGGGTTTATGAGAACTTAAGGGATAGTTCACCCAAAAATTTAAATTACCTCATCATTTACTCTCCTTCATTTGCAACATAGCCCTATTTTTGATAACTTAGCCCTATGTACACTTCAGGAGATCGCAAATTATGTAGCGAGAGGTACATATGGCTGCACTTCATCTTTAAAACAAATGCTATAGGGTGGTATGACGTTGTTCCTTTTTCGCTTGCCAGCTGACCACTAACCTCCCTATGAACGGCTTTTCCGCTGTTACCAGTTTGTCCAGTGGCTCGCCGCATACATCGAAGGACTTGCGGGGATGGAACAGAGTTGACCGCAATGATGGGGTTTGATTCTGGTGAAAAGCAGTTCCAGAAAGTAGGTAAGACAAAAACAAAAGCCAAGAAATAAAATAAACAAGTAAATAACAGGTCGAGAATGTGGAAAGATCTGAAAACGTGGTAAAAAAATCAGCCATCCACTGCTTTTGAACACACTGTCGTTTGGGTTTAGGAAAGGTGGTGAGTGGGTCAATCGGTGCTTTTGAAAACAATAGTTTGGGTTTAGGGAAGGAGGAGGGGTGGGTCAGTCGACTGGACATATTTGGTGCTCTACAGAAATGTATATTGGGCTGTCTGTCTGGCTAGTGTGTTGGTTGGTTTGGACTAAAAAATTATCTCATGTGGTCCTCGAGATAGGGATCTCCATGGTAAAGCGGGACAGCTGGCTGCATCCAGTAGGGGGAGGAAACAAAAAAAAAACAAAAGAAAGAAAAAAACACAAAAGTTGACTCACATTTTAAGGCAGACTATTTTGGTTATGAGTGCTTACTAAAAAGTGCAATTGAATGAAAGATATGATTCCAAGAGTAGTTTCAATACAATCCAAAAAACAGGTTAATAAATAACACACAAACAAAGAATAAAGAGAGAAATTGAGGGCTTCAGTATGGGAATGATCATTAACTGAAAAGGAACACCTGAGATAATTAAATGAGTTGTCATGGAAACAAACGAGTGGAGGGAAAATGTAAAATAATTCTATTGATAGAAGCCTTTCCTATGTGACAACTAGCCCGGGGCTCCCTAGTGCAAACAGTAGATATAAAAACATCCTTTTTAAAAAGAGTGTTAATGAACACACATGTAGTAAAAACTAATGCGATGATATAAGGACACACTGTCTGTGACTGCAGTCTGATAGGGGACCGTCCCAGTGTCTATAAACAGATGCTGGCCAGTGACAGTCCTTTAAGGACGAGGCAGAGGGGCCAGATGTTGATCTGACCCCAGGACCACACGACCTGCTGACAGGCCCGTGACGTGGATGAGTCCTGGCAGCCGGCAGTGCTCCAGTTCACCCACAGCACGAGCTGGAGAATCTCCACATTTCCCCTTCAAACATGGCAAAAGCATGACTGCTGGTCAGTGGTGCTGATGCTTGTCAAAGATTCAGCACAAAAACCCTGCCAGACTTCATCACGTCAAAGCGGACTTAGCCGAATGAACAAGAACAACTCCAGGCACTGCCACGTCGAATCGCGCTCAAATCCAACAGCTGTTTCTTGAGCGATTGCAGATGCGAAATAATGATAATAATGGCTACTTACAGTTCACTCCATCAAGTAAACAAAGCATCGACCACACCCAGAACACAAGCAGGATTCTATTAGCAGGATGACATCAAAAATGCTGGAGAAAAAGTTGATATTTGAAGACTGAATTTCAAGTTGGAAAATTTATTAGAGTTAAAAACGTCATGTGTGTGAACTCATGCAAATTTGAGAATTATATTATGTACAAACAGTAATATTATTATTACAATTTAATGTCATATTTTATATACAGTCAAAGTCTAAATTATTGGCCCTCTTCTGAATTAATTAATTTATTTATTTCAAATATTTCCAAGGTGATGCTTAACAAACAAGCCAAGAAAAGTTTCACAGTATTTCCTTTGTTTTTTCCCAGACCCAGACTTTGGTAAAAACGCAAGCAATCCACACATACAAATACAACAAAACTAAAACTTGTAGAACAATTAGTTATGTGTAATAACAATGGAAAGACACAAGGAGAAAGTACTGAATTAAGAAAACTTCAAAATCACTTTGTATATAAGGCTTTTATGGTAAAGGCAGCTTTAGGATGTAAAATCATGTCTAAAAATCTTGGGACTTATGTGGGTCTCTTCTATAAACTCTGGTCTTTAGCTCTTATTTTCTATAAAGTATCAGGTGATAGGCTGGGCCAGTCTAGAAGCTTTATTTTCTTTTCTGAAACCAATGAAGACTTTCCTTGGCTGTGTTTGAGGTCACTGTCTTGCTGAAATGTCCTCCCTGGTTTCCTATTCATCATCCTGGTAATGTAAGTGTTAGGCCTGAAGCAGCTATAATATTCATTTACAGTGACAAGAGGCAGGACAGCTTTTTTAACTACTGAGAGATTTCAGCTGCTTTCTGGTCTTTTCATGCATTTTTACACCTTCCTTTCTTTGTCTGTTAAATACTTTTTCACTGTGTCATTTCAGTTTTTTTTTACAGAAAAACTTCTAAATTAATTAAAAAAAAACTTTTTGTATACAGATACATGGATTACTTGAAAAATGGTGACTCTTTCAATACTTAAACCGCTGTATGTATGTTTGTGTTTTTTTATTACTAATCTATATTGCTTACATGCTCAATGAATATTAGTCAAAAATATCAGAAAGTACTAATTTTTTTTTAAATATCAGTATTAATTCTTTGGTAAATGTCATTACAGTGACTTGTATGTATATATGCATACCCCAAAACATTAAGCCCTATCATACACCCAGCGCAATAAGGCACAAGATGTGTTTGGTGGGATTTGTTGCTATTTTCAGACCAACGCAACCGTAATTTTCTCACTTTGCACCATGTTGTTTAAATAGCAAATCTATTTGTGCCGCTTTGTGGACTTATGGGGGTTCCGGTCTATAAAGGAGGTGTGTTAAGGCGCATTGTTGGAGAGTTGCTATTTTGAGAAACTAAGTACACTGTAAAAAAAATCTGTAAAATAACAGTTAAATGACTGTATATTTTAACAGATTTTTTCCGTATACACGTATTACGGGTGTTTTTCCGTTTATATCAATGACTGTAAAAAATATGGACGACGCGACAGCCCTTTTTCCCATTGAACGCCTTGAGGGCAAAACGCCTGCTTGACGGGCACAAACTGTCGCAAAAGACTGCTGAAATTGGAGCCAGACATGCGCAGAAGGACTGTCTGATGGAGCCAGAGGAGGAGCCGCGAAAATGAGCAGAGTCGAGCTTCCAATCAAACGCTTTATGTAAAATCAACTACGCCCCCCGAACTTCTCAGCATGCGTTTGCTGTCATATCAACACAAATGGATGTAATAACGTTAACAAATATGAGGGTTTTATATATTCAATCGCGCCAGCTCCAGGCCGCAGCGCACAACTTACTCGCGGCGTCGCGGGCTGATTCTGGCTCGCATGCGGCAGCGCCTGCTCGCTCGGCCGCCGCATCTGGCTCGATTGACTCGGACTGGAATCGGGCAGTGAGTCCAGGCATCCGGAGTAGGTCCAGCAGAGGTAACATTAGTCAGTCTGAGCTCTAAGAGGTAAGTCTCCGGCAGGCGAGAATCTAGCCGGAACTGTGTTTTGCTATCTGGGTGGCTAGGCGTGTATCAGCAAACTAATAAAGCCCGAAAAAAGCCCTGAACTTAGCGAATAAACAGTGTTCCACCAGGATCATGTATGTCAGAAACTATAGTTTACTGCTGAACTCATTTTGTCATGGTAAAATAAAACAGAAATCGAATAATAACATTTCAGTCTACTTCAGTCTCCTGCCGAAGCTCAGACGCCGCGCTTTGAGAAACTGTCAATCACAGCTGTCAATCACGATGACACGCCCAGCATTAAATTACTGCTAAAAACAAACTGTTTACAAAAATGAAGATCTGCACCTATTTCAGCACAATAACCAGTGCCTTAATCGACCAGAACTATCTTTCGGGACATTTTATTGCAAGTGTAAGATTTTTTTTTATTTGGGCTCAAGTCTCCTTCATTAACACGGAGGAGGCGGGCTTTATGACTTGTACTGCAGCCAGCCCCCAGGGGACGATCTAACGGCCGAAACCTTCACTCAAACGTAGGCTTGCGGCACACTTGGTTTATATACATTTTCGAATTGCATTGTGGGAAGGGGATCGCAGCTCAGGCAGCGTTTGATGGACATCGGGACATATTTCTTCCTCTGTTTTTTCCCTGGTAAGTACGATTAATAAAACATATAACAATATTTTAGTTAAAAGACTGCTTTATTACATTTTTATCGTTATTTAAAATGATTTTGTCTTGTATGAAGTGCCCATGGAAAGTACAGCAGTGAATTACGTTAATTATTGTTAATAAGATCAGACTTTATTTCATTAAGATCAAACTGAGCTATGAGTGGTTAAATGTAATTTAAACAAGCATTTACCTAATGATTTTTTACCTTTTTATGCGTTTTCCTCATCAGTAAATATGGTATCTGTTCATTTACAGTTGTTTGTCCGTATTTTTCTAAACTGCCGTGCGCGGGAAGTGACGTGACGTCCCAATCACCCACTCACTCTCTCTGCACCTGCGTGTCTGACTGGATTAACGGTAAACGTCAGCTTGTCTGTGAGAGTGTGAAAGGTATGTTAATTATTTAATAGAAATATAAATGTTTTCTTTGTACAGTGCATTGAACAAGGGATAGCATTCAAAGTTTGTGACACTGTGTAGTTTGGTTGATATACGTTACCTTTAATGAACACTAACGTCAACGTGTTTCAAACGCTCGTAACACCTGACCGTCTGTGTTTGTTTGCATATTAATAACTAATTTCATATTTTTACTGACGTTATCAAATGTTAGCTTTAGTTTGACCGACGTTTTAAGGCTGTGTGACCGAGTTTCAGTGGAACAGCTTTGCTGGTTTTTAAGTAACGTTAAGTTATAAGTTAGACTCGCGTGAATTGGAGACATTTGTAACTCGGTATGAGGGAAAATACACACTCGTTAAGTTATTATTAGTGGTGGGCCGTTATCAGCATTAACGTGCTGCGTTAACGCGAGACTTATCGCGCGATAAAAAAATATATATCGCCGTTAATCTATTCTCAACGTTGGGTTGGGAGCTGCAGCTCATGGGTGACTTTCATACTTTGACATTTTAGCGCGGATGTATACCTGACAGGTGAGCCGTCTGACAAACAAGTGCCCTTCTGAATCAAATCAGCAGGATGCCTGACTTTAACTGCAGTTCGGCAGTTTCACTTTAACTCATGAACATTTCATTCATCCCGCGTGACAAACTGGGGTAATAGACGCAAATAAGAAGCAAGAACTGATGAGAATGTTATGGAATTTAATAACGCTCGCCAAATGGAACGAAAAAAAAAAAACTTCCGCATTTCGCGACGTGTGTTTGTGTGTACAGAGATAACAGAGTGATACAGTAAGTGTGTGACATTTAAAAGTATTTATAGTGTTTACACTGTCATGCGTTTTCGGCCTCAAATAGCCTACAACGTGTACCTTAAAGCACACAATTAAATGTTTGTTGTAGTCGAGTTGAACTGTCATTGATATTTATTTATTCAATTTTAAGAACCTCAAGGGCAGCTAATATGAAGATATAAAGATGAGTTGTTCTTCCACAGTCTTAAAATTCTTCAAACTAATTGTCAGTTCGATTCATTATAGCAAATAATACTTTCTTTACTATTAGGAGATCAGGAGTTTTATTTGAATGAAACCTTAGCTGCTTTTCCACTATCGTGCCAAACCGTTCTAAGAACACTTCGGTACGGTTACGGTTGTTTCTCCACTGAGCCTGGAACGGCGCGGCACGATTACAAACCGTTCTCGGCCCGGAATTCTCGGCACGGTTAGACAACCGTGCTGAACTGTGCTGACAGATTCTGTGGGTTGACGTCGCGACTCGGTTGCTAAGCTACCACAGCTGGCTCAGCAGAAGCGCGCTAGTCATCAGACATCTTCATTAAACTACAGTACATTTAATATAAAATAATGATCCAGGTCTAAACGATACAGTTTGAAAAGGGTTTTAAAACCATAGAGTAGTCTCTGGCAGAGAAGTGAATGACTCATCACATTCTTACGAAGATATTTTATTCATTAAAGTTATTATTTTATTGACTTGAATACATACCTACTTCGTCTGCCTGAAAGTGAGTTTAATGCACGCAGCGCTGGGAGAGACATGCCAACGACTTGCGCTGCTGACTTTTTTTTCCTGCTGCGCATCGAATAAAGCGAATAAAGTCACGCTTTGCATCGTCGATGTCCAAATTCCACAACAACATCACTATATCCATGAAACACGAACTTGCAGACTCTTTTAACAACGAGGAAATAATTGCACTTTTTAATTCAAAGCCAGGACAGCTTGTTAATACCGGTGAGACCACCTGAAGGACGGCGTGTTCGTGTTGTAATGTCGGCCGTCCAAAAGACTTTGCTTGAAAGCTTTACGGAGCGGCACTGTAACTGTCCAAGGTACTGTTGTTTGATTTGTATAATAGCATATGCTCTAATAAAAAAGTCAAAAGAATGAATGAATTAAATAAATATGGATTCTTAAATGTCAGTATTGCTTTTACTCAAAAAATATCAATACGTTTTGACAAATGTTTTATAAAAATAAAATGAGCAATTTTCATCATTTCAGCTCTAGGCAATTATATGATTTGGTTAAACATAAGTTATATGACATTTATGAGGCATGTAACATGTTTCTGTGTTTTTGTTTTTTCTTTAATATAGCTACGCAAATATTTTCTAAAACGTCAAGCAATAATTCGCCTACAGCTTGTTAGTTAATTATGAACACAAAAATATTTTAAATATTTATAATAATAAAAATAAAATGATCAAAATAAAAAGATAATAGAGCAGCATTTTGCTAAATATAATAGTGCTTTATATGCTTTAAATCCTGCTATATATTGTTTCATATTCGTTTTTTATTTCACTTGCTGCATTCGTTATTTAATGTTTGAATAGTAAAACAAATAACAACCATCGCTTAATTGGTTTTATTTTACCATCAAAATGTAGTATATTTTATATCATTATCAACTTTTGATATAAAAACGCAGTGTAATTTAATTAATTGTTAAAAATGAAATAATTTATGTGCTGTGTTTTTATTAGTGAAAGTGCCCGCTCACCTTTGACAAGGCCTGTCAAAAATTATATTTCTGCCACTATAATGCAAATGCACTATTATTGTTGTCTTATCATTGTTTATTTTTCTGTTATGTTCAGAGATTTTAAATATTATTTATTTCCCCTCCAATTATTTTCAATCATCACGTTACATTTTGGTAATTTTCCCTCCAAATAAAATTTAGCCAGAGCTGCGCAACATATAAATAAATAAGGGTGCACATGTACCTATATTTAGCACCCCTATTTGATAGAGCGGCATAACATTGTTTAATCACATGGTTGCTTTTGCTTTTATGAAAAAAAAATAAATAAATAGTTTCGGCTCTTATTTAACTTTAATTGAACAAAGGGAACCGTTTACATTGCGTTACCAAGGCAACTACTAATGCGTTTTGTGTAATGTTTTAAAGAGCTTTGTCGCAGCACGACAGTGGAAAATGAAACCGTATCCGTGCTGTCTGGCCCGGTTTGGCACGGAATGGAACAGTTCTGTTTAAAGAACGATTCAGCACGATAGTGGAAAAGCGGCTCTTGATAGAGTGAACTACATATGGTGTTATCGCAAATGAAATCTTTTTATGTAGATTGAATGAGTGTTATTTTTGTTGTAGGTGTGTTGGTGTAAAAATTGATGCTGACTGGTTAGTACTGCATTTTTAACCATAACAATAATGATTTATATTTAGCATTGCATCTATTGTCATTTTACCAAGAATGTGTTTGCTCTTTCAGAACTCAGGCAGTTGTGCTGGACCTTCTGTACTTTATACAGGAGATGACAGTAAACTTTCAAGTTTAAGAGGTAAAATGTTCAGGGTTTTTCTGTTTGATTTTGAGTGTTTTGTAGATATAATGTTCACTGATATATGATATAAGATTTGCTTTATGTTTATGTTGTCATTTTGGTTATAAGTACAAGGTACAGGTACATTTTCACAGCAATCTAAATTAAAATCTTAAATCTTACATTCAATCCAAACTGAATTTAAATTAATATGGACAAATTAAATAAAATACACCTGGGATTTTAAATGTTTTCATTTTTTTGTTATTTACAAAGTTTAAAGTTTAAAAGTAGACAACCTGCTGCATGTTTCAAACTGAATGAGTGTTATTTTTGTTGTAGGTGTGTTGGTGTAAAAAGTGATGCTGACTGGTCAGTACTGCATTTTTTAACCAAAAAAATAAACAATGATTTATATTTAGCATTGCATCTATTGTAATTTTACCAAGAATGTGTTTGCTCTTTCAGAACTCATGCAGTTGTGTTGGACCCTCTGTACCTTATACAGGAGATGACGGTAAACTTTGAAGTTTAAGAGGTAAAATGTTCAGCGTTTTTTCTGTTTGGTTTTAAGTGTTTTGTACATATAAGGTTCACTGATATTTTGCTTTGTTGACTTCCAGGTTCTGTAATTTTGGATATAAGTACAAGGTACAGGTACATTTTCACAGCAATCTAAATAAAAATATTAAATCTTACGTTCAATCCAAACTAAATTTGAATTGATATAGACAAATGAAATAAAATACAGCTGGGGTTTTAAATGTTTTCATTTTTTTATTATTCACAAAGTATGTAAAGTATAAAAGTAGACTACGTTGCATGTTTCAAACTGAATGAGTGTTATTTTTGTTGTAGGTGTGTTGGTGTAAAAATTGATGCTGACTGGTCAGTACTGCATTTTTATAAATAATACAAAAAATAAAAAATGATTTATATTTAGCATTGCATCTATTGTCATTTTACCAAGAATGTGTTTGCTCTTTCAGAACTCGGGCAGTTGTGCTGGACCATCTGTACTTAGTACAGGGGATGACAGTAAACTTTCAAGCTTAAGAGGTAAAATGGTCAGGGTTTTTTTTTTTTATATTGATGCTTTTATTTTTATTATTTGGCAAAACCAATTTCTTGTACCTATATTTTTACTAAGTGTTTACATGAACACATTTTGCTTCAGTAATTTAGAATTTTGTTAACATGTATTCAAACTAAAAAGTACTGGGTTGATGTGGGTGTTTTATCTGGGTTTTTTAAGCTGCTACTGTAATCTGTTAAATAAAGCAAGCAGTTATTTATTATTATTATTTATTTTTGCATCATTTGAAATGTTACACGTTCTTTATTTTGGTAATGTCTGTTTAAAGTGATAAGGAAATAACTGGTCCACTGCTGAATCTCTTTTCTTTTCTCTCTTAGCCACCTGATGATGAGAGAGACAATTTCAATGTGGGCATCTTGATGGTGAGCCAGGCCTTCATGCTAATTTTGTGACCGTTTAATCTATTTAGCGTCATTGTAATAACATTATTTCATGATGCAAAACTGGCTAAAAATCAAATTTAAATTTCAACATTAATTGTATGATAGTGTGGTTGATTTAACATTTTATTTAATGTTGGGTTCATTGTAAAAAAAAAAAAAAAAGATTTAATTTTGGTTAAATAAATGCTGATTTTGGGACAGTTTTGTCTATTTATCATCATAGAATTACCATTATTTCAGGGTGGAAAACTGCCTAAAAATCAGTGGTGACTTTTTAACGTTGTTTCAATGATAGTTTGATTGATGTTTTAACATTTATTCAATGTTAATTTAACGTAGGTTTGCTCTCTGGGTAAGAACTAACTTAAAAAATGCGAAAAACTTATGTATGTGCCACTTGACTTTTGTATCACATGTTATTGGCATGTTATGGAATTTAACTATGGCAAATAGGTGAGAGGAGATGGAAAGCTATGATGTCTACATGTTTTCCTGAAACATTTTCAAGGTCAATTCTTTCTTGTATAAAGATAGTGGAAAAGAAAGAAATGTAAAACAAAATGGTTTGTCATTTTTTTAAATTTTGTTTTCTTTCCTTTATTGTTTTTTTTTTTTTGCCTTATTTTTGTTCTTGCACTATAATTATTTCTTGTAATATTTGATTAAGTAAATATATATATTTTAATTTCTTTTAAATTATGTAGCAGACATGTATTTGAATAATTTTACATAATAATTATAATATTTATAATATTATTTATAATATTAATAATTTAACATATAGGTGTGCATATATGTACCCATATATGTACATGTAATATAGGAAAACAGCTAATTTTATATTTGTCACATATTTCAAAAACCTAAATCAAAACCTATATTAAACCATATGTTTATATAGGTTCTTTCCATGTGGACGTGTACAAGACCCAACACACAACTCACTTTTCTTTTTTTCAGAAAAAGAGTCCACAGTCACAATAACAAGATCATTGGGCTGTCCCCTAATTGTGGTGAGCTACATGTTTAGTCTCTTATGTGCTAAACATTATGTAGCCTAAGGAAGCAGCCCTGACTCTGGAGTTTATATGAAGGTCTGTTTTTACATTTTTAAGTTTATTTCATTTTTATAAGACAAGTAAGTTGATACATGTTTGTTGTATTTACAACAGGAGCATGCTTAGTAACTATCCAGAATGTAGGTCCAAAGCAGAAAAAAAGAGCACCAAGCAGAAACATACCATCTAAACTCCTTCGATTCCTGTCAGACCAGAAAGACTTTCAGAATCCTTGGAAGATTTAAAGGTAATTAAGCACACCAGTAATACTTTATAATAACTAAACACTATTGATTAATTTATTAAGCATTAGCAAAAAGTTCTGTTAAGCATTAACTCTACATTAATAGACCTTAGTATACAGTTTATAACTACAGCTGCAAATGCTGTAATCTTGACTTATAAGCACATCTATAATGTGCTTAATGATTTTGTTTTTATATTTTGTTAATGATTAATTTTTCATTACTAAATTTAGTATAGCATTATTTACAAACCAGTGATTTAAGAATAGTTGGTGTATTTTTTTTCTAATCATTCAGAATGTGTAAGTAAATGGTTAATAAACTATTCAAACTAACATTTATATATCTTTTTATTCAGGCATATAGTAATAGTTGGGCAGCACAGTGGCTAGCACTGTTGCCTCACAGCAAGTAGAGCTCCGGGTGCTTAGGTTTCCCCCACAGTCCAAAGTCATAAGCTATAGGGAAATTGATTAACTAAATTGGCTGTAGTGTATGAGTGTGTTTGTAAATAAGTGTGTATGGGTGTTTTCAAGGGCGTACTCATGCTATCCATAGTTGCCTTGAAACTGGAAGCGTGCTTGTCTCCCCGACGACCTGCACTCACATTTCATTCGAGCCTGAGCATGCTTACATCGTCAATAATGCACTGTTCAGTTTAACAAGTGCTCTCACTCAGCACAGTGGAGATTTCTTTATATTGTTATATCGTTTTAGTTGTTCAATATGCAGTGACACGCAGTCAAATATTTCGCCGAACAGATCAGCCACTTTTGACGCTCATAAACAATCAAAGTCAACGTGCTGCAGGTACTAGGAGGTTTGCTAAAGGTGCAGCTGTTGTGCAGTGAGGGGTTTGTGTCTTTAATCTATGACAGTTTGCAAGGGACTTTGATTTGGATAAATTAATCACTATTACTGTTCAATGAACGCAAACCCCTTACTGCACCACAGCTGCGCCTTTAGCAAACCTCCTATTCCTGCAGCACAAGGAATTTATGATTGTTTATTAACATCAAAAGTGGCTGATCTGTTCGGCGAAATATTTGACAGCGTGTTACTGCATCCCAAATGACTAAAACAATATAACTAAAGAATTCTCCTTCGTGCTGAGAGCACTTCCTAAACTAAACAGCGCATCATCGATGATGTAAGAGTGCTCAGGCTCGAATGCAATGTGAGTGTGGGACGTCAGGGGAGACGGGAGGGAAGACAAGAGTGCTTCGGCCTGGTTTAAGGCAACTATACATAGTGTGAGTACACACTAAGCTGAAGGAAAATACATGAATGAATTGTAATAGTTATATTTGTAAATAAAGTACAAAAAATAAGTATATAAAGTATATACAATATTTATTTTAATAAGTGCTTTTGTTAACTTCATCCAGTTTTGTAGCCTAAAGTGAGGATTGTTTATGCTTTGTAAATCCCCTTATAAATCACAATTAAAGATTCAGTTATATTCTAAAAATGAAATTCATTTTATTGTATTAAATGAAAAATAAATCTTATCTAAAATAAAATTACTGTACAGTTTAAACATAGCTAAATAACACTGAAATGTTGCATCGTAATATCATTAAATTATTTTAGTGTTGTTTTATCCAGTTTTATGTTATATTTTGGCACTCCAGCTATTCAGCAAGGTTTCATATTTACAGTAATTACATTTTTTAGATAAGACTGTTTAGATAAGAATGTTCATTTGATACTGAGCCTTTAACTGTCGTTTATAAGGATTTATAAGTCATGAATAATCCTCACAGATTAGGCCACAACTGGAAGAAGTTTTGTAAATAATGCAATATTAAATATAATATTATATATATATATATATATAAATAGTAATGTAAAATCAATCATTAAAGTTTGATAACACAATTATTAAACTGTAGCTGTAGCAAATTTTGCAGCTGTATTTATAACCGACTGCTAACATCTATTAATTTAGAGTCAATGCTTAACAGATAATGAATTCACTATTTGCTAATGCTTCATAAATGAATCATAGCCTGTAGTTATTATAGTGTTACCAGCATAGTTTGTTTATATTACTGTTTCTCTCTTGCATTATTGTTCCGAATATTGTCAAAAGTACCTACACTTTATTTTGAAAAATCTTAAAGTGATTTCTCACCCAAAACTGAATAATTGATAATTCATAATTTACTCACTCTTGACATTTTAAACCTGTATGACTTTGTTTCCTCTGCAAAACACAAAATATCATATTTTAAAGAATGTTGCTCCTATTTCTCCTACTTTGTTCTGTGGAAGTATGTCAGTCAGACAGGCTTGAAATTACAGGGGTGAGACAAGAAGATGATGACAAAACTTCCATTTGTGTAAACTATTGACATGCAAGGAATCACCCCAGTTGTAAGTGAAATGTCATTAGTAATGTTTTTTTTTTGTTGTTTTTGTTTTACAGCCATTGAAGTATCAGTATTGGAGCGGAAGAAAACCCAGTTGTATCGTCTGTTTCCTGCCATCTTGCAGTTTAACCTGGTTTCTTAATGTAAAGTACTTGTAATTTGCCCACTTGTCCTCAATTATCTTAAAGCTAACATTTAAAACTAATTTGCTATGAGATTATTTGCCAAGACCTCTCACTGTGTGATTCACATGTCAATATGTATTATTGTGTGTATAACTAGCTATTTTGAATTCAAATGATTTGTATTCATTAAAGAATCTGTTTTAATTGCAAAGTTGTTTTTGTACTAATTGTAAGTTCACAGTTAACAAACTATTTACTGCTTCTTTACACATACAGTATAGAATAAATTTTTTTTTTACTATGGTAAACCATTAATAGTGTATTTCCCATATGTATATGTTTATCCTTACCAACTGCCATTTCTATGCTGCTTGAAGAGCATTAAATTAGTAAAATAATAATTTTTTTACAGTAGGTATCCCATTAAAACAAAGAATCTGTTCATTTTTTCACTGTGTATATATACTATTAAAAAAACAAAAAGTCCTCTTTTTACAGTAGGTATACTATTAAAACACAGAATCTGTCTGTTTTTTTACAGTAGGTATACTATTAAAACACAGAATCTGTCTGTTTTTTTACAGTAGGTATACTATTAAAACACAGAATCTGTCTGTTTTTTTACAATAGGTATACTATTAAAACACAAAATATTTCCGCTTTTTTACTGTTGGTATACCCTTAAAAACACAGAAAATAACCGTTTTTTTATATAGAAAACCCTTAAATTACTATAAAATGTTTCGTTATTTTACAGTAGTTTAACCGTCAAAAAACGGATATTTTGTAGTTTTTTTAATGTGAACACACTGTCAATTAACAGAAGTTTTCCGTTTTTAATTTACGGTAAAATATTTGTGTAATGAGCTGCCAGTACATTTTACCGTTTTTTTACGGAATTTTTTTTTAGAGTGTAGTATTATTTATTATATGCATATTTATATTTGTTTTAATAAAAATAAGTTTAGATTTGTCAACCTGAGACATATGCATCACCATAAGGGGAATAAGAATAGGACATGTGTGGATATAACTCAGTTTTTTGGCCATACTTTATTATTAATATTCATTTACAGTATTCGTTAGCTGGAAATTAAAACTGAATTTAGAAATAGTTTTGAAACAAATTTTTGCTCTTAACAAACTAAATTAAATATGTAGGCTAATGGATGTCTTTCGTGGCGTACGTACAACCTTACTCCAAGAAAGAGGAGTAAAGAGTAAATGTAAAGTAAATAAAAAGTAAAGAGGCCAAATGGAGGCTCATTCTTTATCATCACGTTGCAGATGGTCTGTTTAACTGTTTTCTGTCTAATGTGGCCTTCAGTTTTTCCACTTACAAAGTCTGGCATGTAAATAGCAAATGCGCCATGGCGCGACGCAACTGACTCTTAAAGGGAATGGGAGATGAGACTCTGATCGGTTTAATGCACATTGTACTCAAAACAAACCCATAACTCTTTAAGAGAATAAACACAACCCTGTTAGATCATGTGCCACGATACAAAGCATATTTTTTTCATCCTTAAAATAGCAAAATTAGATTCGGACATGCCCTTAATGCATTTGTGCCATGTGCTTTAGATTTTTCGCCTAGATCTTTAAAATAGAGCCCTAAAAGCACAAAAAAAAAAAAACAGAAAAAATGTCAATAAATGAAATATTAAATAAAATTATGTGTAAAAATTATATTTTATAGCAGTTATAAAATAAAATATTTTTTATAAAACACAAACCTATTTTCAAGAAAAGAATCTCACATTTAAATTTTACATTTTATTATTTTACACCATTTTATATTTTGATAAACAATATTGTTTTATAGGTTTTAAATTAGGGTGAAGCGGTGGCACAGTAGGAAGTGATGTCGCCTCACAGCAAGAAGGTCACTGGTTCGAGCCTTGGCTGGGTCTGTTGGCATTTCTGTGTGGAGTTCACATGTTTTCCCTGTGTTTGCGTGGGTTTCCTGCGGGTGCTCCGGTTTCCCCCACAGTCAAAAGACATGTAAATTGGGTAGGCTAAACTGCCTGCAATGTATGAGTGTGAATGAGTGTGTATGGATGTTACCCAGAGATGAATTGCAGCTGGAAGGGCATCCGCTGCGTAAACCATATGCTGGATAAGTTGGCAGTTCATTCTGCTGTGGCGACCCTAGAAAATTTATGAATGAATGAAGGCTTTATATTTTTTATTATATTAATTATTATTTTATATAATTATTTTATATAGAGCAATAACATAATAATACTAGATATAAAAAATAGGTAAGCAAATACAAAAAGCAACAAAAAGGAAAATAATAACAACAAAATTACAAAAACATTACACTTAAAAATAAAACAGAAACGATGAAATATCCACAAACTCAAAGTATTAATAAAATCTACAAAACTATAATCTAATGCTAAAATAACTTAAAATATAAGATTCTAATCCTTACTCCTTTACTTTTTTCCTTTCAATTAATTTATTCCTGAAATGTGATTATAAAAACCCACAACAGTTATCGACATACTGAAAATCTATAGCACAAATGAGCGTAAACACATTTCCCTATACATTTCTGCAACAAACAATCCGGCTAAAAATAATCTTGCTTAAAAAAAGAGACAGCAAGAGAGAGAGAGAGAGAGAGAGAGAGAGACAGAGATTATATCAGTGAAACACTTCTCCCCAAGAATACACAAGCGTGTCTTTTCCTATCGCTTCATCTCATTAAGTGTTCCAAATCAGCATTTGTCCCCTTTTTAATTTGGCATGTAAAATCTCTGGCATTTTGACTGTGTGCATCTTGGCTCTTAGCGCTCCAGTCAAAACTGTCTTTGTGAGGAAACCGAAGCCTGTGGCGCTTTCTGTGGTGATGGATGAATTTGGAGACGTGTGTGTCTGTGTGTGTGTGTGTTTGTGTGTGTGTGTGTGTGTGTGTGTGTTTGTGTGTGTGTGTGTGTGTGCGTGTGTGTGTGTGTGTGTGTGTGTGTGTGTGTGTGTGTGTGTGGCCTGAAGTGCTGCATGGTGTCAAGATTCCCTCAGTAGCTGTGAAGTACGGCGTGGGCTTAGTATTGAGTTTTAGACTGGCATGGGCAACGGCTGTCCTGCAGGTCATTTGCCAACAGATCTGAAGCACATCACACACTCTTGACTTTTATCAATACACGAACACACACTCTCTCTGATACCCTCAGCTTTAACATGCCCCATAGAAGAGCAAGAAAAAAAAATAGAAATGACAATTTGTTTAATAGGCTACCGTAGTGAATTTAGTTTCAGAATATGGGTTGCACTTGCTGTTTGGGAAACGTCTATTTAAAAAATAAAATAATTTTAAATAATAAGTGCTACAAATGATCAATATCCATAGTGAAAGCTGAGGGACATGTTTGGCTTTGGGCTTTTTTTATCTGTCATGAAATTAACAATAGCTTTTATATTAATATTTAAATGTGGTAAATGTGGTTAGTATCCCAAGCATATCTGCAGCCAGATCAGCAGATACTTTTCTCATTGTATTTCTCTTTGCATTCTATTTGAATTGTATTTTCTCTACAGTACAGTAATATTCAATAATCAGTAATATTCAGTTTGTTTCCTTTATTTATAATTCAAAATATCACGATAAATTGTAATGTACAAAATTACGTTCCATCGTACCCAGCAAACACATAAAAACATCAAAATCTATAAAAACCTAACATAACAAATAAATAAATAAATACTTACTGTTGAAGTCAGAATTATTAGCCCCCCTTTGAATTTTTTTTTTTTTTTCGCAAATAATGTTTAACAGAGCAAGGACATTTGTCAGTATGTCTGATAATATTTTTTTCTTCAGGAGAAAGTCTTATTTGTTTTATTTTGACTAGAATAAAAGCAGTTTTTAGATTTTTAAAAACCATTTTAAGGACAAAATTAATAGCCCCTTTAAGCTATTTTTTTTCAATAGTCTACAGAACAAATCATTGTTATACAATAACTTGCCTAATTACCCTAGCCTGCCCAGTTAACCTAATTAACCTAGTTAAGCCTTTAAATGTCCCTTTAAACTGTATAGAAGTGTCTTAAAAAATACCTAGTAAAAAATTATTTACTGTCATCATGGCAAAGATAAAATAAAACATAAAATTTTTAAAGGTATGAAATGTGTTGAAAGATCTCTCCATTAAACAGAAATTGGGGAAAAAATAAACAGGAGATAATAATTCAGGGGGGCTAATAATTCTGACTTTAACTGTAAATAACTATTGCACAGTTTGTTATAATAGTTATTATATAGACAATTTGTGCTAGTTTAACTATTTATACATTTATTATTACATACTAGCTATCAACAGCATTTAAATAATGGTCTTATTCAAAAGTCTTATAACGACAGGATAAAATTATCACAAAACCGCAGGGGCACTTCAGATCATTTTGGAAGTGCATTCTCTATCCAAGACTACAAAGGGCATGTGCACTGCACAGGCTCACTTTTATCAGTTTGATGTTTCCCAGAGATGGGTTGCAGCTGGAAGGGCATCCGCTGCAAAAAACATATGGTGGATAAGTTCATTCCGCTGTGGCAACCCCAGATTAATAAAGGGGTTTAGCCAAAAAGAAAATGACTGAATGAATGAATAAATGATTGATTAAATGAGACATGAGATGTTTATTTATGTTAATTTGGAGGGAAATCTCACAACCCAGGCTCATTCTGTAAATGTACCTCTATATACATTTCTGGAGTGCACCAAATATGTCCCAGGAGCTATGTTTTTCTGCAGTTTTTGTTTTCGCAAATCCACCAGAGGCCATTGTGTGCGCTTTTTTAGATCTCAAAATTCTCCCGTGAATGCCATTTGTGACTGTTGTTCTTGCATAAATCCACCAGAGGCCACTGTCAACTGACTGTTTAAGTGACTGATCGATCGATTGACCCACCTTCTTCTTTCCCTAAATCCACACAATAGTGTTTTCAAAAGCACAGAGTGACCCGTCCACCCACTTCCCTAAACCCAACCGGCAGTTTTAAAAACCAATCCAGAAAAAGAAACTGGCAACATAATTCGCAATCTCCAGAAAAGTATGTAAGGGCACGTTTTTTTAGAATGAAATGATGTTGAAATCTTGTGTTCGATCATGTTTGAAACTTAAAGAGTGACAAAGCTGCATTTAATGTTT